TTATATGTGTACAGAACAAATAGACTGACATTATCCCCGAGACCATAATTAATAAGAATATTTCAAGTTTTCCAGAAGGGTCTGTTGGTCTTTCAATGGTTCAGGGAATTTGTTGTGACTCATAAGGTATATAAGCAGATGTTGGTGATTTGTCTGCTGCTGGTGTTCGTTAGTCAAGTATTTTCTTTGGCAATTATGTAGGTTATACCTGTAGTGGTTTTCAAAGGCGGGTATTTGTTCCGTACTTCAATTGCCTTTGTTCCATCCACTTCAAAATTGTGATCTGTTGTGGGAGGTCTGCGGTATGGAGTCTAATAAAAAATGGGGCATTGTCAAGCGATCGCCACAGCCTATGAGATATCCACTTGGGCGAGGACAAAGAAACCTCCATCACTTATGTTCTGGAAACTGGATTAGTTCGTTATTTGACAGCAGTTCACTAGGGAAGGTCCATTTCAAGCCGAGATTCCATCCACCTGATAAGATTGTTCAGGCCAAGGTTAGCAATACAAGGAATTAGGGGAGCCTGATAAAGTTTGATTTGGCCGAATTCTGATAATTTTTTTTTGCGGACAATATTGATCTATAGTCTGTACTTGTCTTAAAAGGTTGATAAATCTATATTCCGTTATAACCATCCAGAATCTGGTATACATTTACATATAATGACTGCAATAAGATAGGGAAAATAAAAGGAAAAAAAATGCACCTTGTTATTTTATGTCAGAAATAAAGAAAATAAGTTGACAAATGCTGTGTAGAGAAAAACCTGGTTTAGGAAAAGTTTTTGGTTCATACAGTAGTGTGGCAAGTGGAATCTGGGTTTTAGAAATATTTATGGTTTTTGCCGAAGCATTGACAGGCATGGAATTGCTCTGATTAGTGGTAGACTTGCAGGTGTCTTTTTAATTTAGATATTTGAATCAGATGTTATGTTTTGGTTCTTAAGTAACAGGAGAGATGATAATGTTTAATTTCCTAATATATACATCCAGTGGCATCTTATGTCATACCTCTAGTCTAATCTTATCTTTCTAAATGTAAACCTGATTTAATTCTGATTTAAATCTTGTCAAATCTATCTTCATCTAATCTAACCTCACGAAACGCAAGTGTTATTTATGAATGAAAGTCATTTCTTGTATCATAGGATATGCCTTAGTTACCATATGTTGTTAGGTTCTAGTTGTCTCTTGGAAAAATTTACCAAGAGAACTTTTACAATTTTTATTTTAATATCCTTAAATTAAAAACTATCGAATAGTGACAATAAACAAATGATGGTGTCACTATCAGAGAAAGATGGACTCCCTCTAAAGATCCGATGCTACAGGCCACCATCTGTGACTTTGCCCACTTCAGCCGTTGAAAATCATGCCATTCATGTTCAAAGGTGTAATTAACAAGAAATAAATTATCATGGTCTTAAGTATTTGTTTAAAACCCAAGAAGTTTTCTAAGGGCTTCAGAAATGTTGAACATAAAAGGCAAAATAGAATTATATTATTTAGGGGGGGGGGATCACTGGCATATTAGGCTTTTAATGCATTTTAAATTCCTCCATAAGGTTGCTATACCTACATAGCTTCATAATTTTTATGTGAAGCAGTTCTTTTACATCTTTTTATTGTGATTGGTGCATTTGTCACTCTGTTATCGTCATTTTTATTACAAAATACAAGTGCTCTTAATTCTTGTGTGCGTTTGAAGCTGGTAATGGTCATTTAAAAAATTCTTGGTCAGCAAAAAAAACTGCTTGAAATGATCATGTTTAATTCATTTGGAAGAATTGCTAAGTACTCCACTTCCTCTTTCTTTTAGCTACTTAAAATTTCTAGCTGTATAAAATCCTTTTTGAAATTTTCCTTGAAATCTTTGTACACTACCCCTCCTTTCTGTTCCTCGGCAATATCCATTTAGTGCCGGATACCCAGACGACTTAGAAGCCAGCTGGCATCAAAAGGCATCCCCTTACTCCAGCCATAATGACTTGTATGTATAATGGTCACTTTCCTTTTCTTTTTTCTCTCAGAAAGTGTTTTTTAGACCAATTTCCCCAGACTTTCCTGCAGAAATTTCCTTGGCATATATTTTGTTAGGCTTGCATTAAAGGGTATAATCCAAGGAAATGAGGGCAAGGATCATTTTCTTACTCCATGATAAAATTGTAGTGATGGACCTTGGAGTACAATTACTACAGAGATTAGTTTAAAAGATGATATATCGTGGGTTTCTTTTCACTTTCTTTTTCCTTTTTTAATGTTCATGGAATAGTTCATTTGCTGCATATATTTTATGTTGGGTGTACAAGGATCTGGATGGATGTTATGCATATTAGTATTAAATATTATCAAATTTTAGTGTAAAGCGAGACTATATCTTAATAGACCTTATGTTGTAAAAGTCTCTATCAGTGTCCCTTGTCAGGTAATGATAAGCCAGACTGGTACATCCTTTTAAAGATTTGGTTGTCATTGTTTTGTTTGAAAGAGAAAATTTTTTTAAAACTGATATATGTCAGCTTAGTCACTAGGATGGTTTAGAAAGCTAAAACTTCGTCAGATGATATTAAGAATTTGATTGATTTTATTGGTTATTAGAAAAGACGTAAGAGCAATTTCTGAGATTTGACATTGTTAGCCAGATCGTTTGATTTTTATCTCGTTCTATTTTTCCATTATATCCTATTCCTTCTTGTTTTTCTTCTCATATACTGTTTTTGTTCTTTTCTCTTTTCCTTTTCATTATCTACTTCCACATCATCTCCTCTTTTCTTCTTATTCCATTCTTTCTTGCTTTTTTTTTTACCGACCTCCATCTCCTGCTTTTGCTCCTCCTCCTTCCCCTCTCTTCCTCCTCCTCCTTCCCCTCTGTTCCTCCTCCTCCTCTTTCTCCTTTTTCACTTTCTTCCCAATCTTCTGTTTTCTTCATTTTTAAATAATTCCTCAACTAAAAAATTAGAGGCATATCTAATCAAGGCTGCCCTTTTATGTGATTGATGAGGAAGAGCTGCACCTAAATGAGGTCAATTTTGAACATGTTTTTTTTATTGGTGAACATGTGAAATGCTTTGAATTATCAGTGTAATGCAAGTATTTGTATTTGATGAACTGCAGATTTACTAAGATTTTAAGGCTCTTGAAATGTGTTTGTATCCACCTAGAATGAAAGATTAGATTCCAGTCTTGTTTAAACAGGCAGAATGACTGAGATTTATTTTTATTTATTTATTATTATTATTGTTTTATTTTATTTTTTTTTATTTTTTTCTCTTTTCAAAACATTCCTCTTGTTCTTTTTCATACTCCTGTCTCCTCGTGCCTTTCTCTTCCTCAGCAGCACTTTAAGTTGTAAAGTCCTGCTCCAGACGGTTGTAGGAAACCACAGAATATAATCTACTTTATCATACGTTACGATCATGGATAAGCGTAGTAAAAAGTAGCGGGCTTTTTTATTGTCAGTGAGCCTAATATATCTTGATATCAACCTCATAGCCCTATTCCTTTTGTAGGCCCTCTTCTCCATCAGCCAGCCAGTCAGACTGCTGTGTTTTCCTGCCTTTTTCTTTTAAATGAATCATATTGAGTGTGAATTAGTCATTTTGGTACTGAATGACGTATTTCATCCAGCCAAACCAGAGATCTTTTCCTGTCCCACATCCTGTTTCCGTACACCATGTGATTTACTTTGGCATAGATTTACATCATGATATGTCACTGTGCTTTTATTAGTCCTACTTCTAGTTATTTTTTATATTTTTTTTAGATATTTTATTTGTATGCATGATGAGAATAGTATATTGTTGTTTTATAGTTGTATTTATTTACATGTTTATTGTAATTCATTCCCTTTTTCACAACTTGTGATAACTCTTTCAACGTTGTGCTCTATTAATGCTCAGTCTATAACAATGAAATGTACAGTTTCTGGTGTGTAAAAATTAAGTTCTTGAAATGCCAGGATCAGATCTGCTCTAGTGATACTTGAAAATCAGACCTCTTTTGCAGCTGGAGTAGAAGGGCTTGTAATTATTTGGTTTTGTTTAGGTGGTTGTTGTTCAGATGTGGTTTATGTTGTAAACTTCAGTGTAAATCAATTGCACCCACACATACACACTGACCGAGCATGTTATGTACATTGTATCTGGCAGTTTGACTACATAAATTTACCACTATATAATAGGATAGGCATATGAAATATACTATGAACACCATTCTTAATCAGATAGGTCTGTAGAGAGATAGTACAACATTAAGACCATTACAGACTGTGTTTGCCCATACTTCATTTCATATCAGGTATGAAATTCAAAGGACTATCACTACTGTGCAGGTTATTTTGTAATACTGTTATCTAATATATCCAAGATTATCAGAATATTCTGTTATCTTTTTAATAGATTATCTGTTATTTGTAGAGCCATTCTCTTTACTGTTACTCAAAATTATCATGGACATCATGTATCTGATAAGATATTATACTGTGATTATGGAATTGTTATGATGACTGGGCAGAGATCAAAGAGCATGGACCTTCAGGGTAGTAAGAAGACAAACAGTTTGACGTCTGTTGTGATACTGTCCAAAGGTACACTTTTCTATCTATGTAGTTGTTACTGCATACCTCAGTACCTCATACAGAGAGTGGCATCTCACTCAGTTTAATATTTGCTGTGTATACTTATCTGCTTCGACTTTGAACAAAGTCTGTTTTTTTTTATGTGATAGTTTCCAGTGTTAAAGGTTACTGAGATAGTTAGGGAAATTGTGATTAGTCTTTTTTTTCTCTCTCTTGCTGGAAAGCTTCAGCACCCCTAGATAATATTCATCAAGTTTCACACGGTTACAGTATCAGAGACATGCGAAGACACAGAAGAACACAGACACTAAGCAAGGCCTGAAACAATGTCTATGAAACTGTCTGCCAGATCCCAGAGGGGGAACCCCTATGCCACACTTGAGAAAATGCAGAATGGCCATGCAACTACCGTCTATTTAGGA